TTATTATGAGTAGAACATTAAATTTATCAACACCACATAATACAACTACTTCGCCAAGCAATAAAAGTCATAAAGTCGAGAATCAATACAATAAAAACACTAGGTTTCTCTCCTGATCTGATACATCAGCTTTTTCAGCTTTCTTGGGTGTGACACATCATTAAAGATGAGCTCCAATCAAAACATTTTAAATAATACAGCTCAATTTCGTAAAGCAATAATAACTTTCTATCCTACCACGTCACTCTTACTCTATCTCGTTAAGAAAGAAAATAACAAGGGCCAAGGCCCAAATAAAGTAGAAGCCCACTCACACGCAATGTCGAAACTGATTTTGTTGTCGATCCAAAAACCACCTTAAAACGCCGAAAATTGGTTGTTGTGGTGATGTCTAGATTGAGATAGATTTTAAAGTGAGTGTTGTTTTGTCTTGATCAAAGGTTATGTTTGGTTTGTTTTCTTTTAAATTTTTAGCTTCAATTGGGTGTTGGTGAGATTTGTACATTGATGGTGTCAAAGAAGAACGAGCAATCGATTGTTGGAGCTGCCACGATCGAGGTTTTACTCCTGCTACTAGCCTACTATAGGTTATAGGTTTTGATGACTCAAACTGAATTTGATGAATTTGAGCCGCAAAATCGACGATCTTCACTTGCCTCTCAATCGATTCTCGGCTTTTCATGATCGTGATTCATACTCTACACTGAAAGATTTGGCGGCGCGTGTAATTCAAACCCATTTCCGGTCATACTTTGGTTCACATATCTATATCTCTCTAACAACTCAAGGAGTTACCAACAATCAAATCAAGCTAATTATCTCTCAAATCCTCTGTTTCTGGCAAAACCCATTTCCCTTTTGAAGCTGTTTCTTGAGAAGCTACATATTTGCTTCTGCAACTTGATTCAGTTCAGGTACGAAGTTTTAAAGATTCATTATGAACTCTTGTAGAGGTTATATATTTTTTAGTCTTTGAGTTTTAATTTTCTCTCTTAGGGTAGGGTTGATTCAATGATACGAGATGGGAAAAGATCATTGAGAAGAGATTTAGTAAGGTTCTTACATTACATTGTGGTGAAAAGAATCTAGACCAACTCAAGCCATTGTTCTTTAAGAATCTCTCTAAAGTGTTTCAATGCTTCAAAGGATACTTTGCTTCAAACACCATCTTCATTGATGATGGACCCCACTATTAATCTAATAATCTCCGTAATAGTGTTGTTTATCGATCAGTTTGTAAATCTTGTTCCTAACTTTAATCAATTTTGATGTGCATTCAAGACAATACATATCTTGTCCCAATGAGCTATGATCCTTCTATCAAAAAGGATAACTTGGTATGCAAACAATTTTAAGCTTTTGATGTTCATCTCTTATATTTAGATGTGCTTTTTTTGTTTATGTTAGATGCAGAAGGAGAGTTCTGTTCATAATTACTTGGACGGTTTGGCAAAATCATCGGATGTTCAGACTTACATAAAAGAGCATGTTTTTGGACAGCCCATGATCGATTCCTTATAATTCTGATTGGTCTCTTGATCTTGCATTATTATTAGTTTCTTGAAGTTTCATATTCTCAATAATTTTCTTCTTTTGCTTACTATATCAATTTTTTTTTCTGCATATACTGTGATTCGAAATTTAAAAAACGGACATATATTATCCAATTGACGAAAATGTGTGTTCAACATTCTACATCGATTAAAATATGGGAAAATGGGTACCACTTTTTCCACAAAAGTTTTCACTTCTACCATATTTGAATCCCAATTATCATTCATACCACATTGTGTTTGTAAAATGACCATTTTACCCTCCAACTGGTGAGATATGGAACTGCGATTGATGTGATCTTCCGAAATTTCTGCCGTCCTTTTTCTCTCTCCTGGCGCATTGGTAACCGTTTTCGTCCCTCTGGCTGGTAAAACAAAGTTGTCCCCGAGTAAATCCAGATCTTCGTCTTCGGCTCTCTGGCAAAATAAAATAAAGATATAGTTGTCCCCGAGTTAATCCAGATATCTGGCTGGTAAAACCACATCATCTGGCGATGGATAATTAAGAGATGTTGTCCCCGAGTAAATCCAGATCTCTGCAGGCTGGTAAAACCATATCATCCGGGATTCATAATAATAGAGCAAGCTGATGAAATTGGGGACAAGATCTAGACGCAACAGAGAATTTTTAATCGGGGACAAGATCTGGAGACATCCATTTAATGCAGCCGCTCCCCGTTTCCCAACCGGCGTCTTACTGTAGCTCCTTCCCCTGACACATTCCTGACGTAGGCAGAAGGGTAAAATCGTCCAACCTCTACCACACAAACACCAAAAGTGGTATGGATGCTAAATCGATTTGCAATGTGGTACATTTGCTAGGATTTTCTAAAATTATGGCACATTTGGCAAAATTCCCTTAAAATATTTAGACAATGATTCAGAATCATATCATAAATAAGATCAACACTAATAAAATAAATGAGTTTTTTGGCGGGACGGGTTTGGCGGAACGGGTTTTTGAATCAACAATAATAAAAAGATTAAATAATCATTAATCCGCCGCTTCAATACGGATTAAATCCTTAATTTTTTTTAATACCATTAATATTAGACATATTAAATCAGTCTCATTTAGAAAAGATTGTATAAAACAAAAAATTGTCCCGTGGTATAATGTTACTTATTAACAATTGTAAACTATAAAATATAAATATCTTAAAAAATTATAAAATTTGCAAACTTTTATATATAATAAATAATCGTTAAATTTTAAAAATTACTACTTTTAGAAAACAAATCACGGGACGGGTTAAGAAGTTACAGGACGAGTTATATTTCGGAACTAAGTTATATGGTGGACGAGTTTGAATCAATATTTATAAAATTTTAAAATATCATTAACATGCCGCTTTAATACAGATTAAATCTTCAGTTTATTAAAATATAAATGTCTTAGAGAATGATATGATTTGTAAGCTTTTATATATAATAAATAATCATTAAATTTTAAAAATAAAAATAAATCACGGGACGGGTTAAGAAATTACGGAACGAGTTATATTTTGGAACGGGTTTATATGGCGGACAAATTTGAATCAATATTTATAAATATCATTAACATGCCGCTTTAATACGGTTTAAATCCTCAGTTTATTAACATTTGTCTCGTGGACTCGTGGTATACCGTTACTTAATAACAATTGTAAACTATAATATAAATAAATATTTTATAAGGAGATACAATTTACAAAATATTCTTATACTAACTTTAAAAATAAATCATCCCGCGGTGTACCGCGGGTTAAAATCTAGTTTGAATTATAATAATAAAGTTGAAGCACTTTTTTTCATCATTTGTTTTATTTTCTCTAAGTGTTTGAAATTTCATGGATGCTAAACAACGATTCATTAGAAGCTTTACTCCAGTCCGTCGAATTACCTGGTTTACTAGAGAAAACTGAAGATGTAATTCGGTTTGGACCGTAACCAGGTAAACTAACAAGATGGTTCTGGTGAATCGAGGACCAAGACGAACCGGTATAAGAGTTCGGAGAGGAAGTAAGCATGATGTGACTCTCTCTTGTTTATGTGCCTCAGAAGCAGGTAACGATGGCTAGGGAAGAGGAAAGTGTGAGATATTAAAGTGTCCATCTGAAAAATCAGATGTTATGGATGAAGATCTTGAAGATGACAATGAAGAAATCGAATTCTTCCATTGATTTTTTTTTTGTTTTCAGTTTCTGTTTTCGTTGTGTGATTGAGAAGAAAACAAACAGAACACCCTGTTTTTTTTCTAATCGTACTAATCAGTAATTTGAAAAGAACAAGAATAAATAATTGAGAACTTACAGAGTTGAGGGTTTAAAAAAAACAGTTGAGAGTTTATTCACATCGTATAAAATCTACAGAAAAAACAAGAGTAACAAAACAGTTTCAATGAAGGTTTTTTTGTTTGTTGGTTGTTAGTTAGCTGAGATTGTTAGTTTTATAAGCGGAAACGATTTAAGAACTAAACTAAGGGATTAGTTGCAACTGAATATGTTAGTAACGATTTTTTTTTTTGTAATTGTTGCTAAAGTAGGTAACGAGATTTAGATCTAATTAAATATGTTGTTCAAGATAAGTATTAAAGTATATGAATAACCAAGTTTACTCTGTTAATACTAGCTCCCCTCTATTTTTAGCCAGAAAATTCAGCAAATAAAAAAACAATTTCAGCTCACCACAGTTGTCCAAATAAATTTTTAGATTGGTTGCATCCATGTGCTGAAATCGATTCGAAAGAAACCAATGTGCTGACTGCTGAATGTTTAATAGTTCCAGAGGGGAGATAACAATGAAGTCCCGCGAACATGAAAATGGTAGTAAACGACCTCATTTTTAAAGAAAGGCACGAACTTATCTTAGTCTCCGTAGGGTGTTAAAAGTTTCTAATGATTGTTGTTATATCTACTCTAACTATTTTTTGCCTTTTGTCAACTTATTTATTTTATTTTTAATAATCATTTAAGGAAAAGTTTCTCATTTATTCCGTTATCAATATTATTTCGATAAAAAGAAAATTAATTTCTCTTTTAAATCTCTATACATAAAAAATCAAAGTAATTGAAAATATCTATTTTTGATTAGGAAAAATTAACGTAAATAATTATTGAAGACTTTATAATGAGAAATATATGTATGATCATTATATATAATTACAGTATTAACCAAAAATAAAATTAAAGAAAAAATGAGTGACCTCCAGTTGGATATGGTCGACCCAGTGATCTGGTTTGCTTTCAAAGTCGGATATAAAAACATTGTTTATAATAATAAATAAGTTTTTTGCTCATTTTTAAGTAAAATAAAACTAGAGTAAAAAAAAGGAAAAATAAAGTATGAAGATAAAAACTATAAAAGAAGGAAAAATATTAATTCTAATTTTTTTTCAAACTCCTATATATTTATAATAAATCAAAATATTTTTGTGATTATAATAAAATAATTTAAAAAATATCCCGCAACGTAGCGCGGATTTTATTTCTAGTAACATTAACAACAACAAAATACATAACATTAACAACAACAAAAACAACATTAAAAAAAACATAACTCAGATTCTCACAACAATCCACATATTAATTTCCGCCGTCTCTTCCATTTTCCCCATCTGCATCCTCCTCCTCACCAGGCGCCGCGGTTCGAGCTCGGAGACCGCAACAAACCGGAGTTCCTATCACAATTCCCTGGGGTAGTTCTCCATCGCCAAGATGTGGCATGGCCACAGGATCAGCAGCGGCAGCAACGGACTCTCCCCCGTCCTCAGTGACCTCATCAAGCAAGAAATCAAAGATGACGGTTCGAGCCACTGCGGCAGCGATGTCAAATCTCTGTATCGTGAGTCGTTTTCTCTCCTGAGCATGGAGCCACAAACGCATCGTGAGATCCATGATGAATATTTCACAGGCTTTCGAAAAGAGGATTGGAGCCTCAGCAGCGATCATATTCACATCAGGATCAAACTTCATAATCCCTCTGATTCGAGTTATGGGAAACTTGTGATTCTTGAAATCCAAGTCACCTTCCATCTCCTTTGACCAGAAATTCTTTAGCTGCTCGTTATCTTGGGGTGGCTGCTGGTGGTTGTTGTTCTCCATTTTTGTTTTGTTTTATTTGAAGTCTCTAAGCCTTTGGGTACTGGGCTTGATATTTCTTATGTGGGGGTTCACATATATAAAGAAAAAGGTTAAGCGTAGATAAGATATAGTGGGATAAGAAGCAGGTGATCTTTTCACAAATACCAATTAAGAGGAAATATTTTTTACTATTGAATATTCTAATAAAAATGGGAAATAAAGAAAATACAAAAGGTATATTATTTTTTCTCTATAAATTGAAATTCAAAATTTTTCTCTAAAAATTATTTTCGTATATCTTTAGTTATATACTGTTGTTTTCTATTAATGATTTGAAAAGGACACACTTTGTCCACTCTACTCTATGTGAGAAGCGTCCGTTCATCTAGTTAATATAAATAAGGAAGAAACATGCATGGTCATATATACACTCTTAGGCTGTGACTGGTAAGTTCCGTGGAAGAAAATTTTCTTCTCTAACTTTTTGTGGACCCACACATTTTATTATTGTTATCAAAGAAAGGTTTTTTTTCCCTGGAAGAAAATTTCTATCTACATAAAACTAGGTGAAAAAAATCTTCTCATTTCCTCTAACTTTTTCTTCTACTTATGCAACCAGTCACACTCTTAGAGCTTGCAACAGTTCATGTAAGCAATAAAACAATTCTTCTCAGTGTAACTAACAAAACCGACTGCTAATACCAAGGCTTTGTAATAACCATTGATAATGTGCAATACTATAAAAGTATCAAACTTTAATGTAAGCTCAGTCAATTAAGTAGATTAATCAAGAATTGTGCAACATATTTGTTTATGGTAGTTTTGATTTTTTTTTGAAAATATCATCAACAACAAAATATCTGCGATAATCTCAAACAAATCAAAAACAATTTAACGCCGGATATGTCTACGACGAACCCATGGGAAGAAGCACATCGATGATAGACGAAAGACGTTGTCAATGAATAGAAAGAGATGACGGTAACACCCAAAAATCAGTGCGATGGAGAAGAGGAACAAAAATTTTCTTGTTTTTGATTTTGCTTTCTGGTACATTCCAAAAATAAAAATTAGATATTTATTGACAATGGCATAATAGTTAATATAGAACTAATTCTAGGTTAAATAGTTTTTAATAAAAAATTTGGGTTACTCAAGTAATCCCTTTCAGAGGAGTAGGCCTGGGCATATGGGTAACCCGTTCGGGTTCGGGTAGACCCCGTTCGAGTTCGGGTAGAACCCGTTCGGACTTGGGTTAAATGGATAATGGATTTACTACCCAATGGGATAATTCTAAACATTTGGTTCCAGTCCGGTTCGGGTACACTCGGGTTTGGGTTAGTCTGGGTAATAATTATGAGAACTGATAAATACCCGAAAAATTCGGATTCCTTTCGATTCGGGTCTGATTGGGTAAAAATTACCCATAAACCCGAAATATCACAAGAATACCCGAACTTTCAAACAATTGTACATGCACAAAACACAAATAAAAAGAGAATAGAACTTCAAACTTAACATCCAAATCCAAGCCAAAGTCACAAAGATTAATAATTAGAGTTAAGAGTAGAGAAAATGACAAATATAAGTTCTTAAACTCCTTAAACAAGAGTACCTAATTGGCAAACCGCAAACAAAAATCTAAATCTGAATAACATAGAACTAGAACGAGTTGATTGATGATGAGTGATGACTTTTTTTTTGCATCTTTGTCTCATGAAAAGATAAAACAAACAAATGCCAACCTCATTTATGTGTATAAAACTAGGTAACTCAGGTATAAAACTATAAACCTATATCTATATGTGTATATACGTATATACATATATGGCTTTCATCGGGTTTATGGGTATCCAGTTGGGTATGAGTATTCTCCAAACCGACCCGGTATCCACGAGTTTACCAAAACTGTACCCAATGAGGTAATTTCCTCTTACCTTTATCCGCCCCAAACTAGTTTTTTCGTTTTGGATATCGGTTCGAGTATCGGTTTCGGTTTTTTTTGCCTAGGCCTACAGTGGAGTATCATATGAGTTATTACTAGCTAAGTATCCGTGGATTAAATTGTATACTTGAAATTTATTTTTATTTTATTTTATTGAAACTAATATATTTGATTGATATAAGTAACTATTATGAATAGAGAATCAGTAAAACAATATAATTTTGTTGAGTTTGACTGTATTTTGGCAACTTCCTAAATCTTACTATTTAAAATTAAATAAAAGAAATATTTTTAAACAATATTTTTTTGTACAAAGTATTAAATCATATTACGTAAGATTAGGGGTGTCAAAATGGTTAACCCAACTCAACTCAACTCATTACCCAATGAGTTTAGAGTTAAATGAGTTGAGTCAACCCATCAACTCATTTAATTTGATGGGTTAGAAGGTTAAATGCGTTGACCCATTAACCTATTAATGTAATAAATAAATTAATAATTAAAATATAATAATAATAATAATAATAATAATAATAATAATAATAATAATAATAATAATAATAATAATAATAATAATAATAATAATAATAATAATTATAATTATAATAATAAACATCACTATTATTTGGCGGGAAAATCACGGATTTACGTTTTTGGCGGGAAAATTACGGATTTACGTTTTTGGCGAGAAAATTTTACATTCTCATTTTTCGTTAAAAATTATAAAAAATTTTGGCGGGAAAATCACGGATTTATGTTTTTGGCGGGAAAATCACGGATTTACGTTTTTGGCGGGAAAATTTTACATTCTCATTTTTGGCTAAAAATTATAAAAAATTTGGCGGGAAAATCACGGATTTACGTTTTTGGCGGGAAAATCACGGATTTACATTTTTGGCGGGAAAATTACATATTTTCGTTTTTGGTTAAAAATTATAAAATATTTTGGCGGGAAAATCACGGATTTACGTTTTTGGCGGGAAAATTGCGGATTTACGTTTTTGGCGGGAAAATCACGAATTTATATTTTGATGAAAAAATTGTGTATTCACATTTTTGGCGGGAAAATTAAGAACTATATGCAATCGGTTTAGAAGTTTTGGTTAGACTCAAATTGAAATCGGTTTAGAGATTTGAATTGGTTTGATTCAATTTAACAAAAATTGATGGGTTAAATGGGTAAACCATTGAAACCACTAACCCATTACAACCCAACTCATTTGATCCATCAACCCATTTGACTCAATAACTCATTTGATCCATCAACTCATTTGAGTCAAAACTTTCAACTCATTAGGGTTCATGGGTTGAGTTGAGTTTTGGTTGACCCATGAATCTTGACCCATTTTGACACCCCTACGTAAGATATAAATTTTATTTACTACATGGTTTATTTGTTTAAATAATTCATCTAATTAGATAACATAGAATTTTTTTATATAATCTATTTTATAATTAATTGTAAATGCTAAACATATTTTTAATTATTTTTCTATTAGTTTATGTGTATAACCAAGTAAAGAGATGGAATAATTTTTGTTCATATAAATTAATCATTTATATTTTAATTTAGTTTTCCAATTATAACAAAATAATATATTTTAATATAAATTCAAAACATCTAAATTTGGTAATAAAAAAAATATTCGAAATATCTAAATTTAGTAACTTTACATATTAAAAAATAGGGTAATATTAGGGAATAGCCAAATAAAACACATAAATTAGGAAACTAGCATAGAGAAAGTTTTTTGTCGGAAAATAGCCATGGACCCACGTTGTCAGAGGATGTGAAATAACAAAACCATCCTCCGTTTGTTTTGAGATCAACAATAGGCAAGATTTTTTCGTGAGATTTTTCAAAATAACACGTAAGATCTAAATTTCACATGTTAGATTTAACTAAAAGACATGCTATTTCAAAAAACGTAGTGAATTTTTTTAAAAAAACATTGTTACCTAGTGTTTTTTTTTTAAAACATTGTTATGGAAAAATTAAACTTGAATAGAATCTTTTCTTAAAGAAATAACATGTGATCTTAATAAAAACCGTGAATTATTAGAAAATAAGAATCTTTTTTTATAGAAATCACATGTGATCATAATAAAAAAACGTGTATTACTACAAAATAACATGATAAAGAGAGAGATTAAACTGAATAAAGTGTTTTTTTTCAAGAAATACCATGTGCTCTTTATAAATAACGTGTAATACGATAAAATAATATGATAAAAAGAGATATATTATTCTATCACATGTAATTCGAGAAAAAACATGTTATAAAGGACATATACGTAATTATATGTGCTTTCCGACAGATACCGACAAGTTACTGTAGCATATGACTATTTTGTTAATTATCCTCAAAAATTTCGCTATTTTGTGCATATTCCCTAAAAAATATGTTTGTTTGACAATTTTGACAATTCACCATTAGAGGCAGAACTACAAGCTCTGCTAATAGCTATGCAACATGTCTGGATAAGGGGGTTCAGAAACATCACCTTTGAAGGAGATAACAGACTAGTCCCAAAGCTCATCAAGGGAACTACAAGAGATTTTCAGTTACACAACCTGATTAGAGAAATCCAAGGTTGGCAAAGGCGTTTTACAAGTGCGATGATAATTTGGTCACCACGGGGATGTAACAGGGCTGCAGATCGTTTGGCCAAGGAGCCCATTCCGAATGATTTAAGTTTTGTAACCCACTTTTATGTTCCTAGTTACATTGTTCAAATCCTCCATGAGGATCACATTTTATCTCTATAATAAAAGTGCTCTGTTTTGATGAAAAAAAAATAAAAAATTAAAAAACTAAAAATAAATAAAATTTGATATTTGAAATGTAGAGTGTTTGGTAATAAGGATTTTACAATTATTTTTCTCGGAATATCCAGCGAACATAATCTGACGAAAGGAGACATTTTTGGTCAAATTCGAAGAAAGAACAAAAGGTAAAACACTTTCTCTCTGATCGTGTTTTTTTTTTTCTTCTTTTTCTCAATTTCAATCTTCTCGATTAGGGTTTGGAATTCTGAATTGTACTTCCAATTAGGGCTTTTAGAACTTCACTTTGATCTATAAGCTAATTTCAGGGTTTCATCTGAATTCTTTGTTGATTTGA